CGAGTTTTCTGATAAATCCACCAAAAAAACCAATCAGTACTGAAACTATGTTTGTAAATCATAAACATTATTGTCCTACGGAACGATTTTATGATTCAGTAGTTAATATATACAATTAATATCAAAAATTAATTATTAAATATATTATATATTTTTTTTGCGATAGTGATATGTATACTAAAATGTGCATGCTTTCGGAAGGAGAGCTTTTGCCTATTCAATCACGAAACTGGCAGAACAAAACTTACGTCGAGAATCGATGAAACTGAAAAGTATGTCTCAGTTCTCATAGAAAAGAACAAAGTTTTTCTAGCATTTCCGGTTCAAGCATATGTTGGCTCAGAAAGTTGCTAATTGTGCTGCTCATTTCCTTGACGGTACCGAAACAAAGCAAAATTCTGGTTAGTCAATAGTACCAACGCTAATTGCAGCGTCAGAAGGTTAGAAGGGAAATCAGCCGGTGACAACGAATTCTGTCGTCTTTGCGATGACCATTACAAAGGCGATGTGGAAAAACTGCATCACGAAATATACGTCAGAAATTACGTCCAACATCCGAAATAAAGGACTATTTACAAATGAATGAAACCAACAATAATTTACTGCTTGACTGGTACCGGTAAAGAATTTCGTTGTTCGGTAAACGAAATAATGAATCGAAAATCGAAAACTGTAACCTCTCACAGAACACACAGCTGAAGCTGAACGATAACTAAATTAGTTTCATCGATTGGAAGTAGTTTCTGTAATTAACAGTATGTCTGACACTTCAAGCATAATTAGTGATATACGGAACAGGCAACGTCTGACAGAGACCGGAGATGTTCAGTCGATAAAACGTGAAACTCAGAACCGAGTGCCCCTGGTTGGACCTACTTGTCAAGTCAATCACGTTTCTTCCCTTTGAGGTCAATAAATGAGTGCCACTCCGTGGGAAGGAAACAGATTATACACTATGCTTGCCACATGGCTGCCATCGATTCCATTTTAAATTAAGACACCCTTGCCAAAGTGCTCTTCTCAGCATTCAGGACCGATGATAGCATTTCGATTGGCTCATTTCTTGCACAACGGTTTTCCATTTCGTCAATACAAGGACAGGATGGGCAGTTGCACATGTCCCGTGTGCTGGCTTAACTACGACTTGATTCATGAGCGCTTGCACCCTCGGAACCTCCGAAGGGATGCCTCTACCTTGACGGATCTACCTAACGCACATGACATCGCGCTTCTTAGGAGCTTTTCTCGTCTGTCTTCTCAGCGTTGAACAAGTCTCGAACTCTGGAACCTCGATTTTGAAGATTTCCTGGTAAAAGGACGGAGGTCAATACCTGGAATCGGGAGCGGCAGCCACGAATGTTTACGTGGACGGCCGGAAGGACATTTCCGCCACCCCAGGAAGCTACAGAACCCGTCCAAAAGTTTGCAGACCTGCGATGCTTGGTGATCTTGGCCTCGCCGTTTTGGCCAGCCGTTAACGCTCTGTGGCGCATCTGGCCATCAATCGCCGCCCCCTACCGCAGCCTGCCAAGTGACGGCTCTGCCAGAACTGAATTTTGTCCGTTCTGCTGTACGGCACCGAGACCTGGAAGCTGCAGGAAGCGGAGGCAAACAAATATCAGACGACCAACCGTGATATGAACGAATGAGAACTTTAATCAAAGCCTCTTTTCATGTGACTACGTTTGCATTCGTGTTTTTCACGACATGACAACATGGCGAATGCGAGATCGTAAATCACGTCACGCCTGGAGACTGAACGGAGGACCGTACGAGTTCCTGTCCCCGCCTCACTGTATTTCGGTCCGAACGGCTGTAAACCTTCGTGGCTGACCGCGTCGAGTAAATAACACAGCGAACAACTGTCGCGCGCGTTTCCCGAATCACCTGTCAAACAGGCATGTCAACGATTTATGTTATGCCTCCTTGATTCGTTCCCATCCGGCTCAGGTTGCACTCAAGTCACATAATCGCGCGTTGACGACGACGATGTCCCTTTGCTCAGGCCGACGACCGCTAATAATCTGATTTCTCAATGTCTTAGCTTCCATCGTGCCAGTGCTGAGCTGAGCAAACAACAGAACGATGGCGAGTATGACCGGAGACCGTGTGACCTCTGCTGGCGGTTGGTTTTGAAAGGAGCGAAAAAATGCCAATGACAAGAGTGACGAAAATCGTCGTACGGGGACTGTCGCGAATATACATGTGTGCCTTGCATGAGAACTTGTGGTCGGTCCGCTTTAACTCATTCATATTTACACCCTTATCGAAACCTTACAACTGAGCCATCTGCAGAATCAAGCCACGAACCCGGTACTAATTAAGGTTCATCATCCAAATGAGCAAAAACTGCACCATCAAGTTTAACCTGCCGCACAAATGGTTCATCATTCTCATCCACGCTTAGTATCGTTGCGGATCTTGCTCAGGATTCACTGGTGGTCCCGTACCATTGAAATTCGAATGTGCTGCCTTTCGAATCCCCCGGAAGACGATAATTCTGTTGAAAGTGTTGGACGAAAAATTTTGCCACATATACAACGAGGGCGAGTGTAATGATCAACAACTTAAAGTGGGCAGATGAAATCTTCAGCGAAACTGTGACTTTCATACGACAGAGAAGACAAGAAGTCAAATCCAGCATCCATTCTATCGACATTCTCGTTAGCCCATCTATGTGTGAACCTGCCTGTCTATCGTCCACCAGTCTAATGAATATGATTTAATGTTTTCAATTCTGGGCCCATTTTTGGAACTACAACGGATTTGACGATCCATGGTTCAGGGTAACGAAGCTAACTAACCTTCAAGCGCTAACTGAGGACGCGTCTCATAATCACATCAACATAATTATCAAGACAAATCGCAAATCAACTGATAAGCCGCATCACAACGACAATTGTGACAAATCTATTCATCGGTCCTCTACCACATGTTCACCTATGAGTCCATCAATCCGTGAGTTAATCCAGTATCCATTCATTCATCGTCTAAGCATATTATAGTCTGTGTATGTATACATATTAGTCGTTCGTCATCGCCAACTAAGGTTAATTCTTAGGTAGTTGCGTGGGGTCTAGATGACCTGAGTGATGTTGTAATTGACTAAACTTAATACATAAAGGTTTACTGCAGGAACGAGGGTCCAGTGTAATCCCCTAATTCGTTTCTCTCACTTTTTCAGTGCTGCTAAAGTCATCAAACGTATACGTAGTATATCAAAACAAGAGGTTTTAAAATTTTTAAAACAAATCCGTTTTTAATTGTTCCTTAATATTGTAGTGATATGTCTGAGAAAACTTTTATTTTTAAAATTCACTGTAAAAATAACTGCTAACATTTTGCGGGAAATGTGTAAAATGGATTTTGAAATGTTTCGTTTTGTTCCTATCTTGCATTTAAAAAAACGCTGTTCTTGTTCCATTTCATAAATCTGTGTTTTTATGATTTTCCTCTATATCGCTGAAATGTTTCTGGGTAAAGTACTGGGTCATTATCATCCAACGCGAGTGGCTACTTAATGGCAAAAAGCGTTTAACCAACAAAGCAACCCAGAATAATTCTTGGACGTATGTTTGTGCGTCTGCATCTATCTGTCAGTGTGTGCTATACATTCATCTGTTCTTATCCACGTATCTACGCAAACAATCATTCACCATCGCTCCATTTTTGTTTTGTCAGAGTTACCTAAAGCTAACAGCGTTTAAACAACACAACAACAAAGCAGCATGTATGTATAAATAAGTTTGCCAGTGTACCTGTGTTTGTACAATCATCTGCTCTTATAGCTGTACCTACACAGTCAGTCACTCTTCATTCATCCACCAGTCTGATCACCTGTCTACCTACCCGTCACTCTAAATATCCGTCGATGTACCTATCTGTT